ATCTATTTTCTGCATTATGCAAATGTGGGACAGTCCAAGATCAGTCAAGCATAAATCCTGACTGAGAAAAACAAGACAGCAGTGTGTTGGCACAATATAGCAGCTAAAGCTGGGATCGGTGGTGTTTAACTATTTTTCCTGCAGTAATTCAGTACATTTTTTGATCTTTGTATCAAACATCTGTATAAGCGATGGGGACAATTACAAACTTTCTACTCTGCAGCTTTGTCGGTGAGTCAGATCAATTTATTTTAAGACACAATTTTAATTGAAATACTGTATAGATAACATTTTGTATTTGTGTAGATACAATTATCTTTTAGTTTTTTTGGAAAATAGGCATGTCTGTATATTCAAGCTACTATAAGTATATGTACTCTTTATAACTTTGTTTTCACATTTAGCCCTTCTGCTTCAGTGAACCACATCTCCTGTCAAAGCAGATGTCCGTGCTATCATGATGCATGTTTGCTCTTTTAGTTTTGGTTCATTAAGCTGTATATTTCCAGCTCATTTCAACTATTTTTGTTACTCGACTTTTAAGACCTTATATGCCCATTGGATATACAGGTTATGGATTGTGATATATGCAATCATTATTAAATGATTTGACAAATGTTGGGTAACAATCAAACAATGAACAAATGTATAATATATGCTGAAAACAGTATAATGTAATCGCTGCTTCGTCCACAGTGGGTATTGCTCAAACTACGATCATTTTTGAGCCGGACAGGCCCTTTTTGAAGCTGCAGGTCCATGACAAAGCTGATCTGAAATGCTGCTACACCACCAGTGATAATTCAGTGAAAGTCCATTGGATCAAAGTAGATGGCAACAAAACCCTGAGAACATATCCTCTGGGACAGACTGTGGAGTTTCTGCAACGTGTGCCTAAAGGAAACTCTGTCGGACTGTGTGGCACCCTAACCTTCAACCCAGTCAAGCTGAATGACACTGGGTTCTACCAGTGTTTGCTGAAAGGCAATATTGTCTCACATGGCACCTACCTGCAGGTCTACCGTGAGTGTTCATGAGTGAGATGGAGTCAATCGAGCTCTTAGCACTGCTAACACCTCATAAGCCATAATAAATCCTGTTAACACTAGTCTATCCGAGAGCTGTGTGAGTGGCAGCATCCTTGCATATCGCAGCTTGGTTAATCTTTGCATAATCGGGGTGCAATCATTACAGTCTGCTGCCCGGCCATTTACTTTAAATAGCAGTAAGAATAGATCAAGTTGCAGTCAAGCTAATGTGTAGAGCCATTAATCATACTGAAATTCCATTTTTGCATCATGATCTTATCAAACACAGTTGGCAGATGTGGAGATGTGAAACAACCACAACTCCTCTGGGTATTATGCACATAAGTTTACGAGAACCCATACTTATCAAAACCATTAATTGAATTAATAAATTCATTAACTTTATATATTAGACTGTGTTCGATCTACTAAATAGTACAGTTGTGCTGTATAACAAAACAATCCAGTTTAATACATCTCTAAATAAGTCTGTTAAGTCATTCTTTAGTTTGCCTGATTATTTTTTTATACACTCCGTCTTCTTTTAATATTGCACTTGATGCAAAAACACAGAAGCACTTGTTTAATTTCTTTTACCTCTGAACCCCGTCTGTATGCCCAGAACCAATGAAGAAGACAATAAACCTCAGTGAGAGCACCAAAAACCGGATCCTGACAGCTGAGGGAGTCTTACTGCTACTGTGTGTGCTTATGCCTTCTGTCACCCTTCTCTGCAAGGTATTATGACTCACTGTACATTAACATACACTTCCACTCGCTTGTAGCATTAATGTTGAAACAATGGTTTATTTCCAAAATGTCTCAATAATGGTATTGCCACCATGTCAACACACCGGAATGTGTTGCAGTTTGTAAGACGGCGCTGCTTTGACTGTTCCTACAACATGCAGCTATAAGTTTCTCAAATGGATATTTTTCATTGTGTTTCTAAGTTGTTCTCTTTGGGAAATTGCACAGTGCCACAGCTTTGCCAACTTCTGTTTTCCCCTCACAGTCAAAGAGACTAAATCAACTGGAGAAGAAGAAAGCGAAGAAGGAAGAGGAAAACATTTATCAGGTAAATGAGTCAGATCCTGATTCCATGAGTCAGGCATGTGAGAAACACTTGTGAAAGTCACATTGCTGAAAGCAGGAACAAAGATATCAATGAACATGTTCTCTTGTAGGCCTACTAATCAATTTAACATGAATATGTTTCATTGATTGTTAAGCGTTTACTTGACATCCATCTTTCCTTATATAATACGCCAGGGGCTAAATCTGGACGATTGTTCGTCCGCATATGATCGGATTGAACGCTCTCAGGCACATGGCCAGTACCAGGATGTGAGCAACATTAAAGAGGAAGAGGAGCAGATCCAGCTGGAGAAACCCTGAAGAAAAGGGTAAAGTTAGAGAAAGGGAAGGAAGAGTGTTGAGTCTATTTTTAGGGCTGAAGTTTAACTGTGTGATATCCGAAAAAAACAGGTTCACTCTTTACAACGCTGATTTGGAGTTTTGTACAAAGCCTTCCGTTTACAGTTTTAGCATCTGGCAGAAAGAAAATAACAATAAATCTTCAATTGCGTGACAATCGAATTTGTGGAGCTGGTGGTGAAATTGTTTTGTTAGCAGCTTTCAGCTTTTGTTTATTAAAATAATCTCTCTCTATACATAATGCATTGAATCTTACTGAATGATTTATCAATGTAAATTTCTGTGAGTGCGCTAAGAATAAAGTTGTGTAAAAAAAGAAATCCTTGTGATTATTTAAAAGGCCTACATTGTCTACAAACATAATTCCCCTTTAATCTGTTTTGAATGGGCTCTCTTCAGATAATAAACCAAATTGTACGGGGCGGGACAGTCATCGATTTTTTTAGCGCGTCGTGATTGGCTACTGGAAGGGGGCGCAGTCATCCATTGGCTTCTATTTCGGCGTGGGCGGGGCCATGGGCGCTCGCATGCAGGTATGAAGGGGAGATGAGAGAGGCGGTGCGTAAACAGAGTGGGCGAAGATGGCGTCGAGCAAGAAGAGTGGTGGGAGTAGCAGATTTGAGAAAAGTGTGAATGGAAGACGCTCGTCCAAACACAAAGAGGGTCCAGTTGGTGAGTTTGTCTGTACCGTGTTGACTTCCTCAAAGCCCCCCCTCCCTGTCGCTTTCCTCCTTTTACTAACGTCCCCTTTGTGACGCTCCTGAGCGGTCACCTCCCGTTAGCCTGCGTTAGCATTTACAGTAGCTATACCCGGGTAAGTGTTAGTTAGCCAAAGTGAAGGGCGAGGATTTAAGCCGCTGGGTCTGTCTCAGCTGCCTAGGTCCTGTGACTATTTAACGACTTCATCACGAGAAAGCACCGATGAAATGTACATGTAGACTAAAGGCGTTACTGGAAAAAAAAGAGCTACAGTAGTGTTATGTGTAAAGTGCAGTTAGATGTAGCAGTGGTATTAATGTCATTTCTGTAGCAGTAGACTTGAACTATAATTCACCTTTTCACGTTCTGTGCCCCTAGTTTCAGCCGCTGACTCTGACAGGACCCACCTGAACAGGTACTCCAAACATAAACAAAAGGAGGGGGATAGAGGGTAACTACATTAACTCCCCCCCAAAGTGGGTCAACAGGGCATACATCGATTAAGCAAATGGGGTCACTGGTGAAGCCGTGATTACTGCCTGGTTGACAGGAGAGCAGGGACACATGGGCAGACCAAACAGGATGCTGTGTGCCTGCAAGCACTGTGGATCTGCTCTTATGACTAAACAAACTCCCTAATATGACCTTTAAACTAGGCCGTAACTGGAACAATCCCACCATTCCCAGAGGCTTCCTTAACTTAGTTAGGAACCTACAACTATGCCATGCAATGTCTGTGTCTTTGCCACAGTAATACACAGTTTACCTGCCTATTTTATGAATGGTGCTTTTATAATAGACTTAGAACTGTATAATGGGATTAGAAGAGTTTTAACCTAATCTTACTACACTCTGTTTTATTCAGACCTTAAGATCACATTCACAATTTCCTTTTTTCTCTAAATGCATTGCATTATACAACTGAAGGGAAGCCCTATGCATCCCATTTGGAGGAGGGAGGGAGGGAGGGAGGGTTGTGGACGCTCATTGTTGAGAGTTTCCTGTTGTTCAGTTTGGCCTTGTGTGTTTGAAGGTGCTCTGTCTGGGAGAAGGGTCACAGCCTCCTTAACTGCAGAGCCTCCTTAACTACAGAGCCCCCACTGTTTGCGCTTCCTCTTGCCTGTGGACTGCTCAAAGTTAGCTATTTTTACAGCCTGCTTCCTATAGACACCTCCAACACTGTATGGACTCAACATATGACACGTGTTGAGACTTGGACCTGGATTGACACTGCTTTTACATCTTGGATGTGTCTGTTTAGGCTTGATAAAGAGCAATTGTAAGAGAGCCACACGTTAGGAACAACCTAGACAAGATCAGCACAGTTGATCATAATGACAATAATATTTAACTCAACATTAAACTAGACCGTTAGAGAAGGTCAATGTTTTCTGTGTGGAAGGACCAGCCTGACTGCTTTTTTTCCAATCAAATCAGGAGCCCACAAGACAATGTAAGTTCCAGATGTGATCCTTTAACATTTAGAAAGTGCTCTCGTAGCACACATGCCTCCAACAGGACTGCATGACTGTGTCAACTATACATTTCAATGTAATATAATGTTTATACCCCATCTGACTTGAGGTTACACCAAGTAAGTTTGGCTCCAGATCTGCATCAGAATGTACTAAAAGATAATTGAATACAGATGACCGGTTCTTCACAGATAAGTACAGATTAGCCTTTGAGAAAATAGCTAAAAATGATTAATATGCCTTTGTCAGCAGAACTGTTGATGTGTCACAGTTGGGGAAAGTTTTACTGATCACATTAATGATGGTGCCATTCTATGAGTATCCCAGTAAGTCATGACGCATGATACCAGGACCCTGAAACTAAGGATATCAGTCATTTTTGATTTTATTATTTACACCTGTGCATTTCCCATTGTGACAAGTCTAAATGTCTTTCATGAAATAAGCCTATACATCTATAGATATATATCTTTATTTTCGTGTCATGCACATAATGTGTCCAACCCTCGTTGGTTTATAAGACACCAGAAATACAGCTGCAGTGGTCATTAAGACTTTAATTACAAAATCACAGGTTACTTCACCGCTCGATTTTCAACAAAACATTCTGCCGTCCCTCCCAGGCCTGGCAAATTCTATCTGCTACAAAACAGGTTCCTTTGCTGAAGGCACACCTCAGGTTTTTCATAGTCATCCAGCCAAATGAAATCCACATAAATGAAAGTCACTGTTGTGCATCCCTTATGTCCTCGTAGATGGGACAGTAAAACAAAAAGTTTGCACATCGGGATCTTCGTCTTTTGTTTAAGTTATACTTCACATAAAGTTCTGCACTATAGTTATTCTTTATGAGACAATAAGTTGTATACATATACCATATATCAACAGAACATTTTTCTCTATGTATGAGTCGAAGCATTTGACACTTTTACGTCTGATGTACATAAAGAAGCAGTGGGACCAACAAGTGGGACTTTGGTGTCTGTGTCTCAGTGTTCCTGGGTGTGTTTATCTCTTTATTTCTGTGTGTGGGTGAGGGGTCATGTGTCAGTCCTCAGAGTTATGGAACTGCCATCTGTGATGTCAGCCAAGAAGTCTAAACTGAGGTCACATCCTCCAGTGGAATAGATTTTCTGTATTTCATTTTGCCCCTTTGTTTTGGGTTGGCACACGCTGTCCATGTTCTGCATTCTCTGGCAAACACATTTCTTAACAGCTGGAACACGGAGCTCATTTGTGCTGCAACAACAACAACATATGTTCAATGGTGCTACATAAACATCGCTCACAACACAAAAGTCTAACCAAAACATAAGCACTTAAATATTAGTGTCTCATCGTATTATAGTTATGAACTTTTTAACACATTGATTTATTGAGTTTTACACTTGATTTGTGACTTAATTAAATATGCAATAAATGGAAAAATCCACATCCAGAAAAATTGTTATCTGATAATCTCATGGTTGTATTCCGCCAATGTCTCTCTGTACATGATCTGCCAATTAGATAGAAGGTCACAGGGAGTTGCAAGCTGAACAGCCAATAGCAAAATAGCGTCACAAGGAGAAAGTTAACTGGGACGGTGGTTGTCTTGTGGCTTCTCCCCCCTTTTTTTTAAAAATAAGCCATCGGTGGGAGGAGCAGAAGGAAAGAAAAGGACAACACGTGATGTATGAGTAGAACTGGTTATGACAGTCTGACACACACACACAGCCTGACAGGAGAGGAGCCTCATCTAATTGTAAAGATCTTCTTTTCCATGCTCTCATTGCTTTCGTGGAAGAGAGGAGACTGAGGACAGAGCCTTGAACTCAGATGCTGGTAAACACTTTTACTCTTTTCTTTTCAGTAGTTGGCTCATACCATCAACTATACGCTATGCTAGAAGCAGCCTGTGGGTAGTTTTTAATACAAACACTCAATTCATACTGCATGTGGGCCCTGCAGGAGTCATTATTTGTCTGTAATGTCACTGTGTTGGTTTGTTGTCCATGACTTATTAATACCTCTCATCCATCTTTAATGTGGAGAAGTGCAATTTAGTGGCTGCAGCGGGATTACAGTTACCACTTGTGTCGGTAACGCAGGAAGGGGTGAAGCTGGCACTGACACAACTAGACGTAGATATTCGGAACATTTGCTGGCGCACAAAAGGCAGAGGTGACGAGGCTTCAGGTGAGTCATGCTTTCCCTCTAGATGGTGTATTGACAGCTCGCCTGGTGCGAGTGTAGTGGCAGCTTTATTGTTTCTCTGAGGAATTATTCTCTGTCAGACTAAGGTGAAGTCTTCACTGGGCCACGGCAAGTTTGAGCTCTTGATTAGATTGTGCTGGTTTCACATTACTGATCATTTGCATAGTATTTGCATGTGATATACTCGCTGCAGTTACACAAGGGTGTAATTTGCGCCGGCTTCATTATCATTAAGCAAGTTTTAGAGCGGCTTATGCTGATCCAGGGGTCCATAAAGTTCATGCCGAGCTTACTCTCTCAACATATGGCCTGTTGGCTTTCCTAGCTGAGAGAGTTGTACCCACAGCTCCAATTAAGCAACGCAATTTTAATTTTGGCCGCTCGCCCGAACTGGTTCGACTGCTATTGTTGGTCCTGCAGCATGGCGTGTGGGTGACTGCTTGACCAAGGTAGTCATGCGTCCCTTAAGGCCACACTGCTGCTTGTATTTATGCAGACAGATGCATGTGTATTTATAGATGTTCTTTGTGCGCGTCTCTTGGAGTTTCCAGGTTCATTCTGACGTAATGAGTTGATTGTTTTTTGGTTTCCTGTGGTTTGACGGGTTCAGAACATTCACAATTGCTGCGTAATCCTCAATGGTCAATGAACCAGAGTCTCTTTGTATTCAGAGCAGATCAATACGATCACGACATCACAACCCACTTATTGCATAATAATATATATTTCTTATGAGAGGTTTCACAGAGGCTTGATTACACAATAGCCTCATCACTGAGGATACATGCCCAAAACATGCCAAGAGCTCATAAAGCCACCCAGGTTTATGGTTATTAATAGTCGGTGGTCCCAGTCTGTCAATCACTTTTTCTTCAGGTTTTTTTCTAAGCTTTGACTAAGTGTAAACTTTATCTTTGATTGCTTGTACTCAAGTCTTTGTTCAGAGATTTTCTTATTGTTGGGCTGCTTGCTGTCCACTCAAAACGTCCTCTGTGTTTCATCCCACCAGAGGCTCATTAAACTTTACACAGGGGTTTATTTAAAAAAAAATTGTTATAGGAAGTTATATCTCTTCCCTTTATGACCTCCGTCCTTTTTTCTTTATGGTATCTTTGTCAGTATGGTTGCAGTTGTGTGTTCAGACAGTTGCTGTCGTATATTCAGTTTGAAACTATATTCAGTTGTTGTCTAGTAATTATATATATATTATATTTTCCTGCTCACTAGAATCCTGTAACAAAAAATCTGAGTTTCTAGTTAGCATAGCTTCCTGTCGTAGACAGAAACCAGTCTCTAACAGATTATCTTCTATTATACTTCTTTATATATATATATATATATATATACATACATACATACATACACACAT